GACCCGTAATACCATAGAATTCCAACTTAGATAATAAAATCTTGTGATTGACACAATCAAAGGCCTTTTTCAAATCACAAAATATTCCACCCACATTATGGCCAGCATTTAGGGCAGTTAAGGTCAGGTCAAACAATTTATTAATGGCCTTTTCAATGGAAAATTTCATTCGAAATCCAAACTGTTCATTGGCTAAAATACTGTTGATAGTCAAATGATGACAGAGTCTTACAAACACCACTCTCTCAAATATCTTCGAAGAGGAAGTCAATAAGGATACAGGCCTATAATTATTGATAAGATTTTTATCACCATTTTTGTATATAGGTTTTATCTCAGAGAATTTTAGCCTATCAGGAAATATACCGGTAGCTAACGATCTATTTATTATGTATGTTAAGGATGAGGTAATAAAATGTTTACAACTTTTTAATACTTTGATAGGGATCTCTTCATACCAAGTAGAATTGGTCATTTTCAATTTGTCTATAATTTTTTTCAATTTCATTTGTTGTCACATAACTATGATTGATCGGAGGGAAAGTGGTTGTAATTATATTAGTTAAATATTCATTAGCCTTATTACATATGTCAAGTATATCACATTTTTTAGTGTACTTTTGGTAATGGTCTCCGCTATTGATAAAAATATTTATTGAAGGATTCGGCAATCATTTTAGAATTGACATATGATCTATCGGGAGCACTCAAGTTTGGCATAATTTCATGACAGGGTTTCCTCCCAGTCAATGATGTAACAATATTCCAAGTGGTTTTAGTTCTATTATTGGAGTTTATAATTAGTTTATCATAATATGAACATTTGGCTTCCATAATATTTCTAGATAGATCTTTACAGAACAGCTTATAGTAAGTTTGTATATGAGGGTTATTACTCTCCTTACAGCTTAAATACAAATGTCTTTTCCTGCTGCATATAGTTTTAATACTAGGTGATATTCATACTTTAGTATCAGTATGAGGTCTAGTAAGACATTTGGGAAAACTATTACAAAAGTGTCTTAAGAAAATGTTTAAGAACGCGTTGAACACAGCGTCCACTTCATTATCAAATACTTCATTCCAAAGTTCATTACTAAGATTATAATTAAAATTTAACAAGGAATATTTGTCAATTTTTCTTATCATTCATGAACATTTAACATAAGGGCGCACAGTAATGTCATGGATCAATATTAATTGCGCATCATGATCAGACATACCATTATACATAGGTGATAATTTAAATCTTCCCATTCTGGAGTAATCAATAAATATATTATCGATAGTTGATTTAGAAGTATTGGTTATTCTTGTAGGGAAGTTAACAGTGCTAAAGAGATTGTAAGAGTTTAATAGGGAATTGAGTTGATTCTTTTTATGATTATCAGTGAGGTAATCAATATTGAAATCACCACATATAATGAATTCAGTTTTTGATGTGTATAATGATTTGAGCACCTCATCCATTTTGAGTATAAAATTACTAAAATTACCGGAGGGGGCTCTGTACACAGATAAAATATAAACATGTGATGGTTCATGTCGACTTTTTCCTGCACGAAGTTCTATATCAAATTCTACACAACATTTATCAAGATTTACAGCAACAAATTTTATATAGTTGAGAACAAATATACATGTTCCACCTTTCATAGCATTATTTCTACAAAAACTGGCCCCAACCACGTAATTTTCCATTACAGTGTTATAGATTTTGGCATACTTTAGATGGTGCTCGCTAATACAAATGATATGTGGTAGCTCAGGGTACAAGAAACTTAGCAGTTCATTAATTTTAGATTTCAAACCACAGATATTCTGATGATAGATATTTAAAAAATCTGTTGAGATACATGATTTACCACTTTTACTATTCATTCTATTTAAGTGTGATAAATTACAGCAATCTTGGTTACTAAAAATACTAGTTGGGTTTAACTTTCCCATAAAAAATCATCTGTTTTTGTTACCGGTTTTTTCCTAATACGTTTACGCTTGTTACCTTAATCAGTATTCTGTGGTAAAGTATGACTGGCAGTAGAAGAATGACTAATTAACTGGGCTTGAAGCTCATAATAGCCAACTGGTATAATATTGCTGCTCGAATTACTTGTCTTTTTTAAAAGGGAAAAAATAAGATGAGCCAGATTAAGAGAAACCATCTTTTTTCCTCGGCCATTCAAGTGAAGCCCATATTTAGTATAATAATGCCTATTTTCATCTATTTCAAGAACACTAAGATGAGAGAACAGTTTACCCAATTTAATTAATCTTCTATTAAATTTGGTGATCTCATTATTAATACTGCTATTAGCACCTTCTAAGTCATGTCTAGTAGGAATTGTTAATAAAACCATCTTTGTGTGAGTAGTTATCTTGATAAAATCAGTGAAATCGCTAAAAACCTCATTTAATTCAACTCTGCCTACGTCATTAGATCCAGAGGAAAGAATAATAAAATCACTAAGTCACTAATCTCATTAGTGGTTTGTTCTAATATACTCTTTGTTCCCGCTCCAGGTTTGATAAAACCACTTACTTGAAACTGGTCATTCAGATAAGTTTTTATATTTGCAGAATACCTTCCTATAAGCAGCACTTTGTTTCTTGTCGTTAGGAATACTATTCCTATTATCTAACAATTTAGTATACAAATCATTTAAAGCACTTTGGGTAAGAGATGCTTCATTGTTCTTGAAAGCAATATTAAAGTCCCTAGTTTCCGAAACATAGCCATTAATTATAGTTGGAATTTTATTTTTAGGTTCCGCATTCTCATTCTGAGCATGCATAAGATCATTTATCTGCTGATTTTTCCCTTTCCTATGTATTCTGGGGTCACAATAATTTATAATATGTTTGTTTTGTGCCATTCCTTCATCATAGTAACTCTTCCCTTTTTGTCTCAATCTAACATCTTTAGTCATACGTAATGTTTCTTCATTTACAAAGTTACCTTCTCTTATATTCTCCACAGGCTGCCTGTTTTTTAAATATTCGTTCCCCTTCACAGCCATATTTTCTGCATCAACCATAACCTCAGATTTTGTGTCACCTGCTCCCAGTTCGTTATATAGTAATTTGTTTATTAATTGCAACGATCTTATCTCTCTAAGAGCTTCTTGATGATTCACTTCACTAACAACGCATTTAGAACATTGGGAGATCTTATAAACCTCCTGATTACACCCATTTATCGCGTCTTGAGAACATCGCGCTAGAACAATATCCTCCATTTCTCTGACCTCTTTGTGAAGTAACTCCATTATTTTTTTGGCAGATTTTAATTCCATTTGAGTCATTTTTAGTTCTAACTCAAGTTCAGAACAGCTAATACATGTTACATTTGATCCATTACTATTCTCGTCCAAAATTGCAGAGCTGCTTATTTCATACATCCGACCGTCCACCATGTTTCCAGTGTTTCAGATATGAGTACCCACTAGAATGAGCACTTTAAAAAATTTTATAAATTTTCATAATGAGGTTACACTGTACTTGCTAAAACATTCGTCTTACATCTGATACCGCCTCATTCTTTTGTAAGAATTTATATTTACTGCTTCCCAGACATTTCCCAGCCACATATAGGTTTCTGTTACATTAAACAGCTATTATAATAAATAATTATGTAACAAAGTTCATCCACTTAATTGGCCTCTCTGTAAAGCCTGCATAAAATACAAACACTGAATTCTTCTACTGAGCAGTAATATAAATTACCCATATACCTGAATTGTGTTTATGTACTGAGATTACACCTTCCAGAACTTGGTGGATAAAAGTGACATTTGAAGTTTGGAATCAATATTCAAGGTGAAATTCCTATTTGTTCAAGTTAAATGAATTGCATGCTTGCAATATCAAATTATATTATAGTGTATTAGTGCGTACTATGAATATTGAGGGTCAAATAATTATGTACCTTTATCTGTTGAGGTGANTGCGCAGACTTGATTTTCAGGAAGAGAAAAAAGTCGCACGATGGTAGGTCCGGAGAATACGGTGAATGTTCCATCACTGGAATGTTGTTTTTTGCCAAATACCTCTTCACAGATAGCGCGTTGTGTGCTGGCGCGTTGTCGTGATGAAGAACCCATGAGGCATTCTTCCACATGTCTCGTCTCCTTCGTCGCACACGTTCATGGAGGGTCGTCAAAACATTTTTATAATAAACCTGATTGACAGTCTGACCTTCAGGCACCCAATCAATGTAGATTACCCCCCGGATATCGAAAAAAATAATCGTCATTGCTTTGAATTTGGACTTGCTCGTGCGCGCTTTCTTCCTCCTAGGGGATTTGGGGCTCTTCCGATGCATGGATTGTCGTTTAATCTCTGGATCATATTGAAGAATCCAAGTTTCGTCACACGTAATTACGTTTTGGAAGAAATCAGGATCATTTTCAATGTTTTCAAGAGTGTCAACACAGCGATTCACTCGATGTTCCTTTTGCTGGGGGGTAAGGATTTTTGGCACCACTTTAGCACACGCCTTTTTCATGCCCAGATCGTCATGCAAAATCTGTCTTAACACTTTCCTTATTGATGATGGTAAGTTCAGAACTTGCTCGAATGCTCAGTCGACAATCTCTTTGAACAATTCTAGTGACCTTCTCCACATTCTCTGGAGTTTTCGCAGTGGGAGGACGGCCCGATTTTGGATCGTTCCCGACGTTTTTCCTACCCTCCATAAACTTCTTAAACCACTCGAAAACTTGCGTGCGAGATAGACACTGATCACCATATACTTCTGTCAACAAATTGTAAGTTTCAGTGGCAGATTTTCCAAGTTTTGTGAGGAATTTGATGTTAGCACGTTGTTCTGCATTAGCACTCAGCATTATTCCGACGGAGCTCAGAAACACGATCCGCTTCTAGCACTGGTCGCGGCCAGACTAATCGATGCACGTGAATGAAACTTTGTGTGACGGTAGAGGGAAGTCCAAGGGTCAATGCCCTACCCTCCTCTTCGTCATCGACGTGGCCGGAAATGAGTCATAAAAGTAATCCGGTTTCTTTATTGCCGCACCTTGTAGAATACCCATATACCTGAATTGTGTTTATGTACTGAGATTACACCTTCCAGAACTTGGTGGATAAAAGTGACATTTGAAGTTTGGAATCAATATTCAAGGTGAAATTCCTATTTGTTCAAGTTAAATGAATTGCATGCTTGCAATATCAAATTATATTATAGTGTATTAGTGCGTACTATGAATATTGAGGGTCAAATAATTATGTACCTTTATCTGTTGAGGTGATGACTGCTCTGGAGTAGAAGTGTGCTTGCTTTTGTTGGACAAATGTTGTGCAAATGAAGCACCAAGATTTTCCAGACCTCTGCCACTTTCTGCTTTGGTAACTGACTTTTTAAATGGATTAAGTCTCTTCTGGCTCAGTGGCATAATGGGTTTTATCTCTGTCCAAGTCGCATTTCTCTTTTGTTTTGCAGCAGCTAGAAACACGTTCTCTGACTCTGGGTTATGGGAAGAAAGCATCACGATGACTTAAAGAAATGCATATGGCCTAAATCACTAAATCTGGTAATGGGATTTTCATTTTGTTAGTACATCATATGATCTCTGGATGTGGATAATAGGAATTTGGTTACAGTGAGGCTCCAGTGCAATGTAGGAAGTTATATTTATACATGATTAAACCATTCTTGCATATAATCACTTCATCACAATACTTAAAATAGTCCAGCTAAACAAGGAGTTCCAAAAAACATCTATATGAAATGACATTATTAAAATCAGAGGACAAATGAGAGCATAATATGAAAATTAGCCTAAATCAGTGATATGCACAGCCTAGGGGAATTCAAATATCTCTGGCAGGTACAGAAAACAACCTTCTGAAACCTCTTGAAATCACTGGATTAAACAGATCTGTGATGCTAATTTTTATGGAGATTCATGATACTGTATATAATGCTTGTGCATGTCTGACGGAGCCAGGGCAGCTCTCAGTCAGTACTGCAACTAGGCTACAAGACGGATGACAAGAAAATTAGGGTCAAATCCAAAGAGGGACAAACTTTTTTCTGTTCTCCACAGCATCCAGACTGGTTCTATGGACTATCCAGCTTCCTATACAATTTGTATCCAGCAGCAATTTCCTCAGGAGTAAAGAAACCACAGTATGAAGTTGACTATTGACACCTTTCACCGCCAAGGTCAAGAATGCCAACTACCTCATACGTCTTCTTGGTGTGGTGTTATGAGCAGGAACTTCACTTTATATAAATTTTGACGTTTCCATACAAGTGACTGTTTTGACCATGAATTTATGGGTTGCAATATTTCTAATCTCATAGGAAAACACTGATATTTCAGAGGAACATGCAAGGGTGGAACCAGTTGCAACATGTTCATCCAAAATGCTGATTTTGGCCTATAAGACCACACAGTGTCACAAGCCAGAAGATTATAAGCTCAAGGGTTCAAAGAAGTCCATTGGCCATGACTGTAAATAAAAGTAATATTAACCTTAGAAATTCGTAAGCATACATGCATATTAACAAATTTTACATAAATACATATATAAATCATACAAGGCACTATTAATTACTATACTCGTAATGAGAATTTAGGGTGATATAAAGCCATCTTTTTACCTGTAGATGTTTTGGTAGGATCTTCTGCATGGCCATTTACTTCAGTACTATCTTGATTCCAGCTTTGCTCATGAGATATACCTTTAGAAGACAGTAAAGTTGACTCCATTCCATCTGACATGTACCTAATAGAAGCATGACATTGCATTAAAATGTGGTAGAATAAAACAAGATGTAAAAAAAAGTACAGAAATCGCTGCAGGGGGCACGTGGTAGCATAGTTGGTTGAGGCACTATGCTACAAGCCAGAAGGTCGCGGGTTCAAGTCCCGATGAGATCACGGGATTTTTTCAAGTGCCCTAATCTTTCCAGCCGCACTATGGCCCTGGGGTTAACTCAGCCTCTAACAGAAATGAGTACCAGGAATATTCTTGGGGTAAAGGCCGGCCGGCATGTAGGGCTGACAACCTTGCTGCCATCTATGAGCCGATTTTCTAGACAATGTGGGGACCTCAACAGCTCACAACCCTATGGGCCTTCACGGCCTGCTACAGGGATACCTTTACTTTACTTACAGAAATCGCTGCAGTAATTCACAAATAAAGAACAGGAACTGAAGCAGCATGACTAATTATCACAACATCTCATATATGTGCAGGTCTGAGGCTTCTTGAGAACTTTCGTAACAAGGTAATTCTTTATGGTGAGGAGTTCTTAGCCCCACGCTCAACCCCCAAGCTGGACGACCACCCCTTGTCGGCTGTCCACGACTACTTATTCAACATATCCGCAGCTTCCTTCCAAACCTGGAGGGCGTCTCCTCCATCCGCAAACTGAGGACGTGCCATGCCGTGGTGACAAGGAACCCACCATGGAATGTTTGAAGTATGTACAGGGCAGGTTCGCTCAGGGCAGTGGTGGAAGAAATCTTAAAATATAAGTTAGATTTAGTGGGGTTACAGGAGGTCAGATTGGGCGGAGGTAGCATCCCATCAGCAGGCAAATATATATTTTTCTATGGAATGGGTAATGTAAATCATGAATTAGGTAAAGGTTTTTTTCGTATGTAAGAGAATCATATCAGCAGTTAAGAGGGTAGAGTTCGTTAGTGATAGGATATCATATATAGTACTACAAGGTCGCTGGTGTGATATCATCATTATGAATGTTCACGCCCCAACAGAAGATAAAATTGATGACAGATTCTACAAAGAACTAGAACATGTATTTCATAAATTCTCGAAGCACCCTATGAAAATTTTGGTAGGAGATTTCAATGCCAAAGTAGGGAGGGAAGACATTTTCAAACCAACAATTGGGAATGAGAGTTTGCATGAAATTAGTAATGATAATGGGGTTAGAGTAGTAAACTTTGCCACATCAAAAAATCTTACTGTCAAAAGTACAATGTTCCCACATCGTAACATCCATAAATTTACTAGGACATCTCCTGATGGGAAGATACACAATCAAATCGACCGTATTTTGATAGATAGGAGACGGCATTCAAGTATACCTGACGTCCGAACACTGAGGGAAGCAGATTGTGATACTAACCACTACCTGGTGGTGGCAAAAGTTAGGGAAAGACTGGCAGTGAGCAAACAGCAGTATCGTGTTGAAATCTCAAATAGGTTCACGGCTTTGGAAAACTTGGACACTGAGGTGGATGTTAATAAAGCTTGGGAAACTATTAGAGAAAATATAAAAATTTCTGCCAAGGAGAGTCTAGGTAATTATGAACTGAAGAAGCATAAGCCATGGTTTGATGAAGGATGCTCAAAATTATTAGACCAAAGAAAACAAGCCAAATTGCAATGGTTACAGGATCCAAGCGAGTTAAATGGGGATAACCTCAACAATATAAAACGTGAAACCAGCAGGCATTTCAGGAATAAAAAGAGGGAATATCTGAACGATAAAATTGATGAGCTTGCTATGAACAGTAGGAACAAGAACATTAGAGACCTGTATAGGGGAATAAATACTTTAAGAGGGGTTACCAACCTAGCAGTAACTTAGCGAAGGATGAGAATGGTGATCTGCTTGCAGAATCCCAACAACATTTTGAATAGGTGGAAGAACTACTTCTCTCAGTTATTGAATGTACATGGGGTCAGTGATGTTAGGTAGACAGAAATTCATACAGCAGAGCCGTTAGTATCCGATCCTAGCCCTTTTCAGGTTGAAAGTGCTATTGCAAAATTGAAACGGTATAAATCGCCAGGAAGTGATCAAATTCTGGCAGAACTTATTCAAACAGGAGGCAAAACATTACGTTCTAAGATCCACAAGCTATACTTCTATTTGGAATAAGGAAAAATTGCCTGATCAGTGGAAGGAGTCTATTATTGTACCAGTTCACAAGAAGGGTGATAAAACTGACTGTAGTAATTATCGGGTGATATCACTGCTATCAACTTCATATAAAATTTTATCCAATATTCTTCTCTCAAGGTTAAGTCCATATATAGATAAAATTATTGGGGATCATCAGTGTGCGTTTCGAAGTAACGGATCAACTACAGATCAGATCTTTTGCATTCGTCAGATATTGGAGAAAAAATGGGAGTACGATGAGACAGTACATCAGCTATGCATGGACTTCAGGAGAGCCTATGATTCAGTTAAGAGGGAAGTACTGTACAATATTCTGATAGAGTTTGGGATACCCATGAAACTAGTTAGGCTGATTAAAATGTGTTTAAACGAAACATACAGTAAAGTCCGTATTGGGAAACATATGTCTAATACATTTCCTACCCAGAATGGTCTAAAACAAGGAGATGCTTTATCACCACTCCTTTTCAACTTTGCTTTAGAATATGCCATTGGGAAGGTCCAGGGAAACCAGGTGGGACTGAAATTAAATGGGATACATCAGCTGTTGGTCTACACCGATGATGTGAATCTACTGGGCAATAATGTAGATACCATAAAGAAAAACACAAAAACTTTAACTGATGCAAGTAAAGAGGTTGGTCTAGAAGTAAACAGAGAGAAAACTAAGTATATGTTGCTGTCTCATCACCAGAATGCAGGGCAAAATCATAACATGAAGATAGCTACTGCATACTTTGAAAATGTGGCACAGTTCAGATATTTCGGAACGACCATAACAAATCAAAACCTGATTGAGGAGGAAAATAAGAGGCGACTGAACTTGGGTAATGCTTGCTATCATTTAGTCCTTAACCTTTTGTCTTCTTGTCTGCTGTCCAAAAAAACATAAAAAATTAGAATATACAAAACCATACTTTTGCTTGTGGTTCTGTATGGGTGTGAAACTTTGTCTCTGACATTAAGGGAGGAACATAGACTGAGGGTGTTTGAGAAGAGGGTGTTGAGGAGAATATCTGGACTGAAGAGAGATGAAGTGACAGGAGGATGGAGTAAATTGCACAATGAGGAGCTTCATAACTTGTACTTTTCTCTATGTATAATTAGAATGATCAAGTCAAAAAGGATGAGGTGGGCAAGGTATGTAGCACAAATGGGGGAGACGAGAAATGCATATAGGATATTTGTGGGAAAGCCAGAAGGAAAGAGACCACTGGGAAGACCAAGGCATAGATGGGTGGACAATATTAAAATGGATCTTAGAGAGACAGGATCAGATGATATGAATTGGATTGGTTTGGCTCAGAATAGGGACCAGTGGAGGGCTCTTGTGAACATGATAATGAACCTCTGGATTCCATAAAATTGTGCGAAATTCTTGAGTAGCTGCAGAATTGGCTGCTCCTCAAGAAGGACTCAGTTCCATGAGTAAGTACATTTCATATATGCATTTATGAATGATCACAGCACTCTCTTAGGCCTTACAGAAGTCAGTAGTATTTTTTCATTATTTATTATACAGAGAAACTTTGGGAGCTGGAATAGCGTAGTCGGTACAGCAATTGGCTATGGGTTGGAGTTCGAGTCTCTGGAGGGTCAAGAAGTTTCTCTTCGGCACATGAACCAGACCAGCTCTGAGGTTAACCCAACTTGCTATCCAATGAGTACCAGGGGCTGTTTCCCCAGGGGATAAAGCGGTTGGGGCATGAAGATGACCACTCAATGCCAACTAGTGCTGAGGTCAAGAAATAAGTGGATTTATACATCCACACCCCCATGCACCTTCATGGTATAGTGCTTAATTAGTTAAGAACAGGGACAACTTTACCTTTTTACCATTAAAGAGAAACTTTGAAGAAATGTCAAAATTACATTTTTTTAATATGTGAATCCTGGAAGAACTTCTCAAATTAGGGCATGGCTCCATCATTCCACCAGCTATCCTAACATTCTATGATACAAAGTGGGCGATTTGCAGGCCATCCCATCAAGGGTTAGTGAAAGAGCGATAACCACAGAACCAAATGAACAGGGGTGTGTTCACAATCATAACATGAAAGTTCTGACTGTGACAAGATTATAACATATCTCTCTTGTCAGAAGAGGGTCAAGCGTTGGGTGGAACAAACAAAAAACACTCAGCAAGTAACACTGCACTCAAGACCAATCTGACACACATACAGACAAATTTTCCTTCCTTTTCATCACACATTAACATTTTTGAGAGAAGAAACATCAGTTATGGCAGAACAGTCAAACATAACAAGTCTTTGTAAGTTTTGAGGTTTTCATGGCGATGACTATGAAGAAAGTAGTCTTCTTGGTTTTAACCGATGTCGGTTAAAACCAAGAATACACAGCGCCAGATCCCAGAAGACGACTTTCTTCATAACAAGTCTTTCTTTTTCACATGTTGGATTTAACAATTCTGAGCAGCTTCCTCCTCCTGACTTCACATGATACTATAAGAACCATAAGTCTTGGAAACTGAAGTGGTCAGATCATGAGAGAAATGTCTACCAGTGAGGGGCACTCCGTGGAATGAAGCCACTGGGAAACCAAGAACAGATGGAAAGATTTTTAGGATTTCAGGAAGTCAGTTGTTGTGATATGAACTTCTCAATAGTAGTTTTGTGATGGTGATACTGAACCTTCCTTCTTAATGTTTTCCAGTAGTCACATTATTATACGAGGGGAAGTCAATAATTATCCGCAATGCAGTTGCATTTGTGTTTCTGTTGACAGCACTGTTGTTTTGCGCACCATCGCCATGCATGATTTCCTTGTCATTATTTCTGCACAGGTTTGATGTTGCTAGGTCAGTTCCATCGTCGCTGCCTTGCCG